CTTCACATTTTGATTGTTCGCTGTCGCATGTCTCAGGCGACAAGCTCAAATTTCTCACTTGTTTTGTCGCCGTTTCCGTCGTCGTCCTCGTCTCGCAACCTCATAAAATAAAAGGATAATTGCTTTCTTTTGCCATTTGCTCATGTGGAAAATTGTCTTTAAAATTTAATCAAGCGCTTGGGCGTGCATATGTGTGTGTGTGTGTGTGTGTGTATGTGTGTGTGACACAACCACAACTAAGTTGATGAAGTGACGCACACTCACAGACACAGAGTGTGTGTGTGAGAGACAGAGAGAGAGAGGCACATATCACACATGCGTCTTGCCATTTCATTGTCAGGCTTGGTTTCTGGACTGCTTTTGGGTGCTGCGTTAATTTATGCCTCGCTACTTTTGACACAAATGCCGACGAAGACGGAGACGAAGACTACAGGAGCAACAACAACAGTAACAACAGTAACAACAGTAAGAACAGAAATAACAGAAACAACAGCAACAAGAATAACAACGACGGTCGGTGGCAGAATGCAAAACCTAACTAAGGTCACTGGCATCTAACAAAAACACACTGGCATTCACACCTGTGTACAGTGAAGCCAACAGAAAACGGCAGAACAAAACGAACAGAAGTCGATGAAACGAAATCAGGAGAAGAACAAGTGAGGACGTCAATAGAAACATGAGGATGAGGCGATATAAGAAGAGGGGGCGATGGGGAAAAGAATCTTTGTAAGATGAGATGAGAGAGCTAGCTTATATAGTATACTAACTAGTATGTGCATAAGAAAGCATTCTTCTATCAAATAAATAATTAAATTTTCAAATAAATTTGAAGAAAATGAAGCATCTTTCCTTCTCTCCAAGTCTTCAAAAAAAAGCTTAAAGGCTTCAAAGGAATTGTCTGCTGTTCAAATAAATTAAAAGGCGTAGATGCTCTTGGTTTTTTTTTAAAAAAAAACTTTAAAGTGAGAAAATGTAATTTGTTTTTTGTTTTCTGTCTTTGGAAGTCATACATGATTTAATCTGCCGGCAGTTAGGGAAGCTTGACTGTCTTGGCAGAGACAACCAACCAGCCACTGGAGCTTGATAACCACAACCAGCCTACACTTGAAGCGCCTTCCATGTTAGCGTTAATAAGTTTCGTATTACACGTCAGCTCAGCACAACTGCGACCCCACAATTCTGTGTGGTGACGATGCCAACGACCATGGCAAGAGCTGGTGGGGCTGGGGCTGGTGGGGCTGATGGGGTTGGAGCTGGGAGAAGTCGCTTGGCAGCTCGAGCAGGCAGTTCGAGCAGCCGCAGCCACAGCCGAGCACATTAAACGGCTTCATTACCTGCAAATTTCAAATCAAATACGAAAACCACAAAACCCAAAACAGAAAATGGCCGATGAGGAGCAGAATAAGCAGAAACGGATGAAGAAGGCTGAGTAGCAACTGATTAGCTGCCAGTGACAAGGGGCGTGTGTACCTTAGAAACGATGGGATGCGATTTACTCGTATACGATATGTGCGATATATATAGTCGTATATGCGAATGTGGACCAGGACGGGACGGGACGGAACGTATTCCAACTGCTGACGTTGGGGAATTTTGTGGCAACAGCCAAAGGCACACCCCAGAGCCCACCATAACACCAACAACAACACCAATAGCAACAAAAACAATAACAACAACAACAACGTACAGACTTACTACTCAGCCAGATGAGGCACCGACTCGGTGTTAGGGCTTGACAATATAAGGAACTAAGTCGTCTGCACAGTTGACATTGCCGAGAATGCGGCTGCATTATGAGTTCATTTTAGGCGACCTAACCTGCCACTAACAAATATGAAAAGGCAGAGGTTTAGGCAACGAATGCATGCATGTCTAATCTGAAATGAAAATAGGATATCAAATCGGATGTTTTACAAATGGCCAGCAAGGCACTGATCCCTTTTCAAACCGAGAGACCTAAAACGGTGTAAATTGATTGATGGCCGAGAAATGGGTGAATGAAAGAACTCATAACATATTAATTTGTTATGTTTCCCAACAACAAAACAACAGAGTCGAGCCAGTCCAACACTAAACAAAAAAAAAGCTTTTGCTCCTGTGTTTTGTTCTCGGAGTTGCTTCATTCTATCCTTCATATGCTTACGAGTAGAGAGTATAAAAACAATGATTGTGATTTTGCAAATAGCTGGAAAACTTGCAGCTGGAAGTGGAAGCAAGGAACTTCATTGAGTTATCAACAGTTCGCAATTAATGCAGTGGTAACATTTTAAAAGGCTTTCCGATAGAAATACCCACGCTCAGGCTTTTGAAAACAAACTAATGATATAAACAATACATTTTGCAAGATTTGAAAAGGACAACCTAACCTTTATTTTATGTCATGATGATTGAGAATTCCAATTCAAAAAAAAAAATTGTTAATATAGGGATTAGGTGTTTCTTGTAGTTCGGTGCAAATAGTTCAAGCTAAAGAAGACTACCGAAGACGCTCCTAAATGGATTGATATGATTTATATCTGGATCAGGCTGTGTGGCACGAACCCTCTTGAAGCAAGCCAAAACATCAGGCCTTGACAGTTTTTGCACTCAACTGCAAATCATGTTTAGATATAGGGATTAGTCAACTAACAGCATTTTGTTTATAAACAGTAATGATTTATTCTGAATTCCGATCAATTTTCAATTCAAAATGAATCAAACATTATGATAATTCGTTTGAAAAATGCAATTAAGTAGGAAAACAACCTAGAAAAACCCCAGATTTTCTGGCGAAACTACACTTGACTTCGTTTTTCTGCTAACGTTTGCCTGCACATAAGTGCCGCCTTTTCACCGATTGATTGATTGACATGTAGTTATGACCAGATAGTATCGAGAGTATGCACACAAAACTGCCTTGTTTTTTTGGGTCGATCAGCTGCGCCGTGCCGCCCAAGCAGTAAAAGGCCCAACGAGCTCGGACCCCAAGCAAACGAACACTTGCCACAAAAGTCAATTTGGAACAACACATGTCCGATTTCACACGGCAACAACACAGCTCTCGATATTAATAAACACTTTGGTGTGGCATCAAGACAATGGAACGCATTGGATCAATGCCACATGTGTCACAATGTGGCACATGGTGACTCAAAATGAATGGCATCGTTTGCGGATGACAGCCTACATGTGTAGTTGTGTGTATTGGTGTTTTCTTTTTTCTGTTGTATCACCAATAATGTGTGTTTCATCAGAGGGGAGAGCTGATGGCGAGCCTATGTCGCCATTTTTTTCCATTTCCCACTTCACAGGTTAGGTTGCACGCCACTCTGCCTAATGAACAGAGAACCACCAGAACAACCAAAGCTTTTCAACTTCAATTTCAATTTCGGGTTCAACTCCACGGCCAGCATTGGATACTTTTGTGCGCTTGCTGGCTTCAACAAAGAAATCCAAAAGCTAGCAAGCAACTAATACGAAAGCAGCGGCAACTTGTCACAATGGAGAATAAAAGGTAAAGCTCCCAACGAACCAAAATTGTAACACCACTGATATTGGCTGACTAGAACAGAGCATTCATTTTCAAGTTTACGAAAAAAATGAATTTAAAAACTAAAACAATTTTTCCAAAATAATATAACTTTACGCACTTCGCCATCTCTTCATGCAGCCGCTCATAATGTCGACTCCTTCATCAGATTACTTAAAACGAGTTCACCGCTAACGACTAAGAGTTGAGTTTGCTTAAAGCATTAAGAAGCTGGAGAATAAAATTTGAGATTTATGCTTGTGCTGCTTAAAAATACAATACTATACAAGTATATTCGACTGCTGTCGATTCAGAAAATAGAAACTTTTGTTTCAACTCCACTTGCGGAGGGAGGCTGCGTTAAATTTTCCGCACTTTGCAGTCAACTACAAAAGACAAATATCTCTAAAGTTGCTGCTGCCGTTGGTATTGTTGTTGGCTAAGAAAATATGTACTTGTCGATGCTGGCTTTTTGCCTGACTGCCGACTGCCGGCTGCGGGCAGCGGGCGGCGGGCAGAAAGTTGCTGGCTGGGAAGACTTACAAATTGGCAAAGCCGCTCAGTTATGACAGCGTGCAGCCATTGTAGCGCACAAAATTAATTATAAACGCATGCAGAAAAGCTTTGCAAGGCACACCCACACACACACACACACACACACATACACATAGACTTGTATCCAGCAACCATAATGATCACTTGCGGCATGTGCTAATAGGATAATGGGCCCCTGGCATCGTCACGGCGCTGATTTCCTTTCCTTTCCTTTTTGGTCTCTGCTGGTTGCCGCATTTGCTTGTCTGTTGGTTGTTGTCTGCTATCTGTTTTATTACCTTTTTGCTATTTATTTATTACCACTAAGAACATTGGCCCATACACCTACACCTACACCTACACGCACACTCGCACTCACACTCGCGCAAGCACCCACACATGTGCACTGCTGTTGGTGGCTCTGCTGCTCGCACTTGTGGCCATAAACAAATATATTAAATTTTAATGCTTAATTTATGTGCAGATTAATTTCGTACATTTTGGCCCAGATTAGTTTTTGCTGCTGCTTTTTCCCATGGCTTGGCTGACATGTGAAACACTCAAGGCCGTCGCCAGCTGTGAGCCCAGTTCGGCGGCCGTGCAGCCCCTTTTTCTGCCTCCCCTCCCTCCTTGCCATGTCAAAGTCAACTCTGCAGGGTCTTTATATTTGTTGTCTCCGGCAATTGTTAATGCATTTTATTCAGAGCTCTTCATATGGTTATAATAGAAAAGTGTGTTACATTGAATAGCCTTTTAAAGAGTGTTTTCAACAACACGCAGCTCAGCGTGCAGCTCTTTCAAAGGCAGTGAGTGAGTTGTGTGCATTTTATTTGTATTTCTAAAAGTCTATCCCATTTCGTTTCTGGGTTGTGTATGTGTGTGTGTCTTTCAGACCAATCGAACAGTCGACTCAACTTCAAGTTGACTCTGGAGCTCGCATTGGAGCTGCAGCTACCTATATGAGCGAATCGTCGCTTTCATTGCTGGATGACTCGTCTGAAGAAGTCGGCTTGGTGTTCTCAGAGTCGTCCTCGCTCTCCAGCTGGTTGGAGAAGCTGGTCCCATCGCTGCCTAGACTGAGCGGCTGAAAGAAGAACAACATATTCTGATACTCCTCGTTCTTTTCGTTGCTGCCCCTGGCAGAGAGCAAGAAGGGAGCTGGGGTCTTCCGGATAGCACGATTCCAAGCTGCCTCAGTAGCTAAGGGTATAGTCTTCAAATCGCTCTTCTGCATTTCGCCTTCGGCCCCATCCTTCTGCTGCTTGTCCGTCTTGGACTTGAAGGCCTTTTCTTGTTGCTCCTCCTTCTGTGGCCCGAAGGATACTGTCTTCGAGGGCACCTTTGGCTTCTGTCCAGTCTTCTTCTGGCGCTCCTTGAGCTTTGCAGCTGGTTCATCGACTACTTGGCCGCTGAACACATGCATATTGGCGAGCGAAGAGCCCTGCGCTACCGGATCCAAAATATGCCTGATGCTGCCATCTTTCATGGACAGGGACACCTCCTCAACGCAGCCCATGCTGGTCACCGAAAGCATTTGAAATGCAGCCTGCACTTTTTTTTCATCAACGTGCGAACGGTGCAAGTGCTTGTGCTTTCGCCGTGGAGTCCCCTTGCCACCGATGCGCACCATCTGCGCCAGGCGCTTCAACTTTTCGGCATTCATTGCGATGGCACTCAGAGTTCGTCGGACAATATGTTAATTACTTATTTATAAAATTTTCAAGTAGATCTTGTAGGCTGAATTGCTTAATAAGCACCGTCCAGAAAACTAATTTACTGTTCAACACGTGACTTGCACAACCGATTTTCAAGAGCAAAGAACAATTGGCAGGTCTCTTCTATCGATTTGCTTGCGTTTTATCAGTGCTGCCAACTATATTGCTGATAGGTTGCAGATAGGGAGCTGCCAACTTGCTGCACGTTCTATTACGTAACGCATCGCCTGCATCAAAATTAATAATTAAATTAAAAATAGATAAATGCAGAGTGTATAAAAAAGTATGCGACATTTTTATACTCTATAAACGAAGGGTCAATATGTATGTAACAATTGGTGATGGGGTAGACCTTACGACACAAATTTAAAGGTTGTAAATCATAACATCGAAATAACATCATTGTAGAAATGTACCCACATCTCCGTTTCAAAGAGCAATAAAAACTAGAAATAATATACATCCTTGTAGAATAGTAATAGCTCCCTGGCGGCCCTCAAACATACTACGATATTCTCCAAAGAACTCTATAATTATAGGTATAATACATTCCACACCAACTTATAGACCTAGTATATAGAAAGCGATCGCATCTAATCATGATCATTTGGTGACCCCGAAATAAACGACAAATTACACACTCCCTGTTAATGGTCATTCTTGGATCTATGTCCTTTGATCTTCACCTTAAATTGTTGGCAATTGCAAAATCCTTAAACATTTCAAAGCGTTGGGAAAAATAAATAAAGGAGAGGCCGATTCTATGATAATGGAAAGGGTATGTGTTGCTTCGTTGTGTGCTCGCTAGCATCTGCGTTTACTTTTCATTTGATTTTATTTGTTTTAATGCGTTGCATGGCGCTTTTTGTAGCGCTTCTCGGCGTTTGTTTGCCATTTGCCTGGCGGCATTTTGCGCATGGATTGCCTTTTTTTCTGCTGCTGATGCCGCTGCTGGTGCTGTTACCGCCGCCACAGACACCAATGCCTTCGCCATCATCATCAGCATCATGAGCATTGGCCTAACCACCATCATCATCATCGCTATTGCCGAGTTATGCTCCTCCATGGTATGCTGGCCAGGCCACAAAGCGTGGAGCGCCGAGCGCAGAGCTCGCATAATTCAAAGCCGCATCATTTCATTTTTATTGCAGCGTTGAGCAAAATGCTCGCGGCATTTGCCGCTTTCAGCTGCTGCTCATTTGTGTCCCTCTGTATATGAGTGTGTGTGTGTGGGTGTGTTTGCGGGCATTTTATTTATCACAAAAGCCGCGTGCTTGTCAATAAACCTAGCCGCACACACACACACATATATATACACACCTACTCTAGTACGTACATATGGGCCAGCATTTGAAGCTGCCCCCGGGCCAAATAATAGAAAACGAAAATGCGGTCATTGTTACTTTTATAAACACACACACACACACTCACACACCCAAACACAACTTCAGCCACTCAACTAGACACACACACACATGCTCTGAGCGACCGCATTACAAACTGCCAACTGGCCAAATAAACGCCAAACTGCTAGCCACAGCCAAAGAGCCACCGAGGACCGCCGCCGCAGCCTTTGCTGAAAATTTTCTGCATTGCTGCACAGTTGCTCACCGCTAGTTGTTCGTTACCGCCGCACAGTGGGCCAAATTGCCAATAATATGCGTGAATATGTTTTAAAAAACTCAATCAGAAATATTATATGGTACAGAAGTAATGAAAAGTTCTATAACTCTGGAATAAATCAGAATGATATTAAATCTTCATCTTTAGCTCAGCTTTCAATTCTATGTATTAAGTAAATATTCTATTTAAGAAGTCGTTGAGAAACCAGAATGAAAGTCAAAATACAACTTTCAAAAGCTTTTCCGTATTAAAAGGAATGTTTGGGATCTCGCTTAAGTTGGTTACAATTGCTTGAGTTTTTAAATAAAATGAAACAAATGGAAACACCACCACTGTTTCAATTGATTCCAAGTTTAATACAGAACGATTTAGACTAAATCGAAACAGTGGAAAGTGCACCGCAATGATCGTCAAAAACAACGCGTTTTGTCAGTTAAATGACGTTAAAATGTTACCGAATACGTTTCAATATCTTTTCCATATTAAAAGGAATGTTTGGGATCTCGCTTAAGTTGGTTAAAAATGCTTGAGTTTTTAAATAAAATGAAACATTCTGAAATCAATTGAAACAGTGGTGGTGTTTCCATTTGTTGCGAGTTTAACGCAGAAGGATTTAGAATAAATCGAAACAAAGGAAAGTGCACCGTCAAAAACAACACGTTTTGTCAATTAAATGACGTTAAAATGCTCGCTTAAGTTGGTTTAAAATGCTTGAGTTTTTAAATAAAATGAAACATTCTGAAATCAATTGAAACAGTGGTGGTGTTTCCATTTGTTGCGAGTTTAACGCAGAAGGATTTAGAATAAATCGAAACAAAGGAAAGTGCACCGTCAAAAACAACACGTTTTGTCAGTTAAATGAAGTTAAAATGTTACCGAATACGTTTCAATATTTTTTTCAAATAAAAAGGAATGTTTGGGATCTCGCTTAAGTTGGTTTAAAATGCTTGAGTTTTTAAATAAAATGAAACATTGTCAATTTCAATTTGTTTCGAGTTTAATGCACAACCATTTAGAATAAATCGAAACAGTGGAAAGTGCACCGCTACGACCGTCAAAAACAACACGTTTTGTCAGTTAAATGACGTTAAAATGTTACTGAATATCTTTTGACAAGATGAGTGCAGTTCAGATTGTCAGTCCAATCCACTGTTCGGCATTGCAACCTGCACGGCCACCTGACAAGCCCCCGCATCCACCAATTCACCACAAGTAACAACAAATATTTTTAGTTGGACTTTGGTTTCGTTTAGTTTGGTTTTGTTGCTAGTTACATTGTCCTAACCGTTTTTTATTTTTTTCTATTATGATTTATACTCCGGCCAGGGCCAAAAGTGGCATGTGTGAACTGTTAAAATGCTGTAAGGGCGCGAAGGGCGCGAAGGGCGTGGCATCTGACTATCTGCACGTTCTGTTTTCAGCGCTTGTCAGCAGCATTTTGCACGATTTTGTGTCGTTTGCAGTTTGGCAGCAAGTTACGAGCTGCCTGGGCCAGGGCTGCCAACAACAACTGAACCCGAAGCCATTCACTGGTCAGCTCACGTTTCAAAAAACTGTTCAACATGGTCGATCAGACAACAATGGAGGAAGTGCGCGGAAAGGCGGGCAAAATGTCAGCGGAGCCTGTCAGTAGTTTATGTTACTGTGGTCTTTTGGAGCAGCGTACACCTCAAGTAATTGAGAGAGAAAGCACAATAGGGGATATCAGATAATAGACGGACAGGTTGACTAATTAATGAACTAAAATGTAAAATATGCCTGCATAAATAAGCCAAATTTCTTGTATGTCTCAATTTGAAAAATCGACTTTGATGTAAGATAGGCTTTAAAATAATATTTATTTTAAAGCATTAATAAGATAAATATTTGAAAGCAGTCGAGAAAACCTTAAATAAAATTACATATATTCCAAAAAATTTCAATAAATCAAACCCATGTGCGGCATCTTTTGATTGCACAGCCAGTCCTCAGTCCTTTTCTGTCTTAATTCCACTCAATAAACGATTCGAGTTCTCTTTGTGTTATTTATTAACATTTGCCTCTCAGCAACAAAAACGGAAAATGGCACAAATGCATCTCTGTGTTTTCGATTGACAATCGATGACAGCAGGTTGCAGCTTTATTGCCTTTAGCTACTTCTAGTACACCCCCCGAATACTCTTCGCCGCCCATCAACCTGAGTGGCACATCAGTGTGACACCATAGAGGAATCGTAGTCTCAACGCCTAGTCAAAAGATAAGAAAGAGTTCGCTTTGTTATATAATTTTATTCTTATTTTCTTTTAAGAGGAGAGGGGCCGTCTCAGACACACAGCTGGGGCAGCTGCTGGGAGGGAGGCTGGCGGAGGGGCAGGCAGGCATTTGACGTGTCGCGCCAAAGCCAAAGCGGCAAAACAAACAATACAAAAGATTTTTATCATTGTCACCTCTGCACTCGACTGTGTCATTTGAAATGCTTTGTGCGCCAGCGATGGCAATGGATACGTTGGGGAGGGGGGAAAGAGCAGCAGGAGCAGGAAGTGTGGTTGCGCGAGAAACAGGACTGGAGGAGGAGGGTGGCTGGAGGCAGGAGGGAGCGACACACGCGCCTGTCACTTGTAACTTTATGCCTCGACTGCCGTCTGACTTTGTCTTGAATGTGCTTTTCATGATTTGTTTGCCTGACTATAGTAAGTGCACTCGAAAAAAAAACCACACCACTTTAAATAAAAAATGCAGATATTAAGGTATATTAGTCGCATCTGGCCAATCACCAGGTCGACTGAAACTCATACAAGACAAATGAATCCACTTCGATGACGATGTAAGGATGGCACTAGACTGGAGAAACCCCCAGGGAAGCAGACCTAAGACGACGGCGGACCAGTCTCCAGAAATTATCCCAGAACAACATCACATGGAACACAGCTAGACAGACGGCTGGAAATGGAGTTTCATGGAAAGTTGTTGTAGAAGCCCTAAGCTCCTAAGTTGAGTAAAAATGAATAAAAAAAATTAATAAAAATAATAAAATTAAGGCATATTAGTCTCTCAATGTTTCAAAAAACTAATACATTTTTGCATCTCTGGCTTTAAAATTATGTATTTATACAAATTATGTATATATCTCTCCTTTCTTTCATCAGGTTAGGCTATGTTGGAATGGTTGGGGCCCTGGTGTACACCCCCCACTTAGGCCATGATCTCAAACACCCGAACTCTTCAAAGAATAAAGAAGGTGTTCAAAACCCTCCTTCTCCTACTCATTTGTGCAGCTTCTACAGAAGTCAGAAGGAGAGAAGTTCTTATTTTCGAGTGCAGCGAACAGAAATTAGTTAAATAATAGTTC